CTGGACCTTGAAGGGTCCTCATGGCATAAAGTTGCCATCTTTATGGCCATGAGAACCCCCATCCATGCTATTAACCCTATTTTGACCCCTTTAAGCTCAAATGTTTCATGCAAGCACGTAAAGTTTATGACTTTATGTGATATATCGGCCTTAGGATCCTAGATCTAAGCTTTGGTTAAGTTTTGCACGTCAGAAATCGACTTATGGGCTTCGTCATTCGTAGAATCGACGAGTCAGTTTTGGGACTCGACGACTCATGGGTTGATTCCCTAAATTAGTTCGGGGTTCAAAGGAACCCAGTTGAGTTTAGAAGAGATTAGATGAGTCCAGAGGAGTGACTCAACGTATTAGGACATAGCCATGGCCTGGAAACCGTGGGACTTAGCGAGTGAAAGAACACACTCGGCGAGTCCAAGGCAATATCCCAACCCATGAAGATAGACTCGACAAGTTGTTCATACAACTCGGTGAGTCACGGACTAGACATGTTCATATGGTGAAGATATACTCGATGAGTTATTCATACAACTCGGCGAGTCGGTTAAAGATTGTCCCGATATCATGAATAAAGGAGAACTCGTCGAGTTCTTGCAAAACTCGGCGAGTTGAATCTGGTTGAGGACAAATAAAGGACTATGGGACTCGAAGAGTTGGCAGGCTAACTTGGCAAGTCAGCTCAACTGGAAGTTGACTTTGACCAGGATGTTGACTCTAGCCAGTGGTAAAATGGTCATTTTACCCTAACAATAGTTATTAGTGTTTTTACTAAGTGTCATTGTGGAAATTATAGTCGAGACAATAGTTATCAGTGTTATTCTGGGCTTCGGTCCAATGCAGTGGGCGAGGCCCTAGTTAGTCTAGACTTCATTCTGATGAAGTGGGAAAGGCCCTAGTTAATCCGAACTTCGGTCCGATGTAGTGGGCAACGCCCTAGTTAGTCCAGACTTTGGTCCGATGCAGCGGGAAAGGCCCTAGTTATTCCGGACTTTGGTCCAATGCAGTGGGTGTGACCCTAGTTAGTCCAGACTTCGGTCCAATGCAGCGGGCAAGGCCCTAGTTATTCCGGACTTTGGTCTGATGCAGTGGGTGAAGCCCTAGTTAGTCCAGACTTCGGTCCGATGTAGCGGGCAAGGCCCTAGTTCTTTCGGACTTCGGTCTGATGCAGTAGGTGAGGACCTAGTTAGTTCGGACTTCTGTCCGATGCAGTGGCCAAGGCCTGGTATTTGCTTTATATATTATTGTATAGTATGTGGTAGTTTGGGGGAGGTCACTAAGCTTTGTGCTTACAGTTTTCAGTTTTGGTTTCAGGTACTTCCACTAGCAATGGGAAGGGTTTGGGATGATCTCACGGAACACACTACAATCTTCAGCTGGGGAGTTTTACTCTGATATTTTGATATGGCATTTGACATGAGATTTGATATGTGATAGATATTGTGAGATTTTGAAACACATAGTTTATGATTTTATACTCTGGTAATGAAATGATGGATTTAATGATGTTTTAAAAACGAAAATTTTGGGTTGTATTTTTGGGATATTTCAAAGTGCTATTTTGGTAATGGTAGCTCAGGGAGTCGAGTGATCACCAGTTTGGGGATCTGTCAGTTACCAGCAAGAGGACTATCCGTGAAATTTAGCTTTGCGAGGTGAGTTTCCTCCTGTTTTAGCGGATCGAAGGCACAAATATCAGCCCGTATTTATGTTATGTGTTTCCAGATTATGATACGTTTTCGGGCGGTGCCCTAGGAATGTCTGAATGCTTTCCGGATTACAGTTTGATGTCGGGCGGGGCCCGAGGAATGTTTATATGTATGTTTTCAAAATCCGGTTCGATGTCGTGTGGTACCTGATGAAGGAATGTATGTTTAGTTATATTTTTTTCTTTGTGATACTTGTATGTGCTTGGCGGGGAGGTGAGTGTGGGCGGAGTCTTGTATCTCATCACTAGCTGAGTGTGGACGGGGTTCCATATCTCATCATTAGCGGAGTAGGGGCAGAGCCCTGGATAGGTGAGGCCTTAGGACTGGAATATATAGTATTGTGTATGATTATTTATGTGCTAGCCTGATTATATGTTATTTTTTGTATATTTATAGAGGGTGGGGCCGAGTGACAGGTGGGGCCTGGGAGAAATAGATCTGTATACAGAGCGGGGCTCGATGCCAGGCGGGGCCTAATGTCGGACTCTGTCTGATGTCGGGCAGAACCCAATGAAGGGTCAGGGGCCTAGTAAATGAGATTATGTGTATGGTATGTGGTATTTTGGGAAGACTCACTAAATTCGTGCTTAGGATTTTCAATTTTGGTTTCTAGTACTTCCAATTGCAAAGAGAATAGCTCAGGATGATTGCATTGCACACACCATGATGTTTATCATGGGATGATTACTCTGATGTTTTGATACAATAATCTGATTTGTTGCTTGGAATGCTATGACTTATGTTTTGATGGAATGATTTTAATAACTATGGTTTATTTAATTGTTTAAAAATGAAATTTTTGATCATGCTTTTTGGGATGTTACAGTTTACTTGGGAGGTTGTCAACTAGATTGAAAATGTACAACTAGAGGTTGTCAATTTCAGGATGGGAAGCTTGTGAGTTCGCAGTCGAAGAAGTAGACAAGTGTATCAATATCTACAACGGAGGCTAAGTATATTGTTTTTGATGTTTTTACTTCTCAAATGTTAGGGATCCAAAGCCAATTGCATGACTATGGAATCAATATGAAGAAAATTCTTTATTTTGTGACTCTGAGACTGCAATTCACATATGTCACAATCCAGTGCAATATTCTAAAACCAAACATATTGCACTTTGATTCCATTTCATCAAAGATCATGTTGAGGATGGCAATCTCATAGTTCATTTTGTTAAAATCATAGAACAACTTGCTGATATTTTCACAAAACCTCTTAATGAAAAATCTTTCATGAGAATTTTAAATGGATTAGGGTTGATGGAAGCATGTTATGTTCCCAAATCTAGTTAATAATTTTTTGTTTTTGATGTTGAAGTTTTGTAGACTTCATTTCTTATGTTGTGTCGATTATGTTTCTGGATCATTTAGCGGTTACCGTTCACAGATAGAGCTTCGAGTAGCTTCGTATTCGAGTTTTGCTCTAAATCATTCAGGGAGTTGATCAATAATCAAAGGTTTTGGTGGAATTTCCTTTTATTTCTTTTATTTTTTTAATTCCTAAATTCAAAAAGACAAAAGGATTTTCTTTATTTTATGTTTTTTCATTAAGAATACAAAAATCCAAAAAGATTTTTTTATTTTTGTCTTTTATTTCTAAAATTCGAAAATTTTAAAAAGATTTTATTCATTTTTGTTTAAAATTTTCTTATTCATCTAAAATTTTCATATATCATTGTAACATGTGTTTTTCATCTACATGCCAAAACAAAGTTCAAAGGAATAAGTTAATTTTTTATTATTATTGACTAGTTAAGTGTCCTTAGAATCATCATGCAGCATGTTGTCCAAGCCTCATCAACTCTTTGTTTGAAAAGCCTTAATGCAATTCTTTTTCTAAAATTTTCTTCCCAATAGGTTGTCTTAACAATAGTCATTGAGCTACTTTTCTCTTCTCAAATTGATTTAAGAGATGATTGATTGGTTATTAATATAGTAGAGGTACAATGATTCTTTTATCTAATATTTTTCTACCTAAATTTCTTACACATTATACACATAATGACACATATCCCAAGACATCTCTAGTAAAAAAACAACTAGGATGTGGTTGTGACAAAATTCCGTGTTAATGATCTTCAAATCATTTTAACCATGATGATAGTGAGACCTACAAATGGAAGCATTTTAAGGAATTGATGGTGAATAATTTATTGTTCAAGATTTTCACAAGGAATTGACGAATGACACTTCGTATTTTAATGTACCTTTATGTGAATCTTCAAAATATCATTTTCATTTCTTTTGTGTGGTCTTAGTGAAATGTTCTAATACCAAGTCATTTCTACCCAAGAAGATCTAACTTTCTTATTTTTTTTTTATGAAGTGAGATTTCCATTTGATCATTTTATGTACCTTTCTTCATGTTTAAATCTCAACAAAGCTTACTTGATGTTGATTACAATGATCACTTAAGTATTTTCTTACATTTAATTGCTCTTCTGTTAAGTTGGAAACATGTTTGAAAATCAAGCCTACCTTTAAGATTGACTAAAAGAGGCCCTTTGATATTTCTCTACATGTACTCGATTGCAATTCATGGGAAACCACACAAGCACTTTGATTTCTCTCTTGATATCAAAGAAAGAGTATATATTCATAGATCGTATTGTTTTTATATCAAACTTTTTTTGATATCACACTTTATCCAAAATTTTCTTATCTTGATTCTATCTTTTTCATTTGGAACACGTTGCATTGGGATCCTTAAGGTTTTGAGTAATACCAACTTGTACCAAGATCCTACAAAGTTTTGTTTATGATTCACTTACAAATCCCATAAGTGAATGAGACATAGCCTTACCTACCAAAGAATGGTTCTTGGTTACTATCTAAGTTTGGATGATGTTCGCTTCTTCATCTAGTTCTTATTCGTGTTTTGGTATAGAGTTCAAGTAACCGTTTTATGTTAACATATGGCTACTTTTACTTTATTGTTGATCAACAAACACTAATTATGTTTACACGTGGCAAATAAAGCTCATTGTCCTTTCAGTTACTTACTTTGCACATGGTGTGTTTTGATTGGTTAGCGATTCAAATTCAAATTTCATGCCAATTATAAAAGGGTGTTTGACGATTCAATTCAGTTTTTCTAATTCTTGAGTTCTCTCAAAGAACCCTAACCTTAAATTCATTCTACAAAATCCTCACAAACAACGATCATCATGTCTACTCTCAATTTGATACAACTGATGATGTTGAGTCTATTCCTCAGATGAAGATCCAATAAAATAATGTCTATTTTAATCCAAAATTATCGGCTTATCCTAAAGAACTTAAGATGATGGTTCAATGCATGAATGATTATATTCTTGCATATGCTTTATCTTTTTCCTTTGCTATTCTGATGCAATGGTTTTCTATAGCTAGTTCCACAGCTGTTCCTCACAAGGATATTGATACGATTACATTCAGTACTGATGGAATAGAAATGCATGAAGACGTTGGTCAAGAAGCAATTTATTCAAATTCTTCAGTTACCTTCTGTAGGTCCTTTTGAAGAACTCACTCATGAACATGTTTTTCAAATAGTTAAAGAAATAGGACATAATCCTCCTATTTCAGTTGTCAACGAGTTTTGAAAATCTGATTTGCCAATTATTTGGAGTTGTTTCTTTTGAGCTACTGTTCGATGCTTATCTAGGAGGAACTATGGTCTTGAGAAAACAAAGCTCATACTATATTAAGTTATGGTTGGCTTGTACTGTGGGTTGAAGGTTGATTATGTTATGGATTACTTTTTGGAGTTTGATTTTACGCAAAGCTTACAATGAAGATGGAATTCAAGTTCCTGTTGCAGTTGAAGTTGCTTATTTTTCTCATTTTCAAATTCCAAAGACTGTGGTTGATGATCCTATTAAGTTTCCAGTTGTTGGACGAATTCTTGATGTCATGCTTCATTTGGTGGCAGACTTGAACCCTGATTTGCTTCCATACATGAAAATATTGGGTGTTGATTCTCATGTTTCTACTACTAAGAAAGCTAAATCAAAGCCAAAATGGGTTGCAATTAAGGATTCATTTGCTGAAGAACAACCCAAGAAACGAAAAGCAACCGGTATGTTAAAAGTAAAAGGGAAGTCACGATCCTCGAAGCTAAATACCTAGAAGTCTAAGAAGATTGTCAAGCCAGTTATTGAAGAGGAAGCATAACTTGTTGTTGAAATTGAGGATGAGCAGACCAATATAGAAGTGCAAGAAACTATTCGATATTCCACGTTTGAAAGTGAATTCAATGTTGGTGATGATAATCAGATGATGAGTGAAAATTTCTAATGTTTAACCACGAAGGGATACCTCTATCAATTAAATTTTAAAGAGACAAGCAACCTAGATGTCACTATGAACACATATTATATGGACACAAACATCATAACCAGTGAAACACCTTCGACTTATGTTGCTAAGTCGACTATTGTCACACCACCTGAAGATTCTACTATCAAATCCAACAAGGAAGAGGGTAAATACTTAAACATCCCTGAGGACTTATATAATACTGAGAATACTATGAAGGATACTTCGAAAATTTCACCATCACCACTAACACTACACCAACTCCTTCTACTGTTTAAGCTACAACAGCTCATTTGCATTCACCAAAACTTGATAGTATTTTACAATAACCCATTACTTCTTATTTTCTTCTCAGTCTATAGATACTACTCTAAACATTGAAGAAGAAGAAGAAGAACGTGTTGAATTTGTTGATATTGACTTCAACTCTGAGGAAGAAGATGTAGAAGATCATGCCATTATGTCTGGCAAGCAGTATAAGATTCTCCATTCTAAGATCAACATGATTTTCCAGTTTCTCAATGGTAATCCTGGTATTTATTCATCTATTAGCAAAGTAGAAGTGGAATCTTTATTATTTCTTTAAGAGAAGAAGATGAAATCTATTGTTCAAGGTGTTGTTATTGATCTTCAACAAAGGTTGTATAATAATGTAAAGTCTACAAGTATGATATAACTAATGTGAAGAATGTTGCTTGTGAACGGCATGAGTTGACAGAGAAGGTTCTACAATCATCCATTGAGTCAATGGAATTCAAATTTAAGGGACTTCATGACTTTATTGTTAAAGAAGTCACAAAGATAGATGGTTTTTGCACAAGAATAAAGAAGAATGTTTATGTTCTTTTGTCTACTACTTGCAATTTGATAGAAGATATTTATGCGTTTAATGTTGAATACAAGTAGGACTTGATTACCAAGAATTAGTCAGAAAAGAAGTTGTTAAAGGGAATCGAAACTTCACTCAACAACTTTCAAGTGGAATTATCGAAGGTTTTTGTTTCTTCACAACCTTCACTTTCTGATGAGAAGCTTAATTCTACTCTTTCTTCGATTGAAGAATCTTTTAAAGCCCAATTATCTCAAATATTGGATTTAGTACTTCGATTGCCCACAAATGCTCCATGATATGTGCTCGTATCACAACGGTGAGATAAGTGTAGCCCATCCAAGGTTGAAGGTATGGAAAAACTTGTTACAGTTGGAAAGATGTATTCTTCTCAGATTCCTACTTCTATTCCATTCAATCTTGTTTAAACAACAACAACAACAACAACAACAACAACTTCAACTGTAAATGATGATTTATTGAAGTTGCAATCAAAGAAGGGTATCATTATTAAAGAAAGAGGTTCTGGTTCTTCGGTTGTTAAGCCAATTGCTCAAACTGGCTTGAAAAAAAAAGGAAAATGTGTTCATGTAGATCCAATTGTAGAAGAAAAGAAGGAATTACATGGTATAACTGTTGGATAAAGTGTCTGAGTCCATAACTATATTTGAGATGTACTTGACCCGACCCGACATGGTCCATTTGGGTTGCACTTCACCTGAACAATTTATGGATAATCTTTTGAGAATAGTATGTTTATGAATTATTAATATATTATAAGTTCTAATATATTAATATAAACCATATTATTTAATTAGTATTGATCTAGAATAAATTTAGAATTAATTTGGTGATCAAAAAGGTGACTAATTAAATATGGGCTCTTGTATTTATATAGTGTGGGCTATTGCTTATTTAAAATGGGCTAGGCTTGCATGGAAATTCCATGGATAGTCCATGGAGCTTTAACCCATGGATCTAATGGAAATGAAAGGTCATGGGTATTAGGGTTTACATGAATGTAACCCTAATCCACCACACTATAAAAAGGATTCCTTGGCACTTAAAATATAACTAGTGTGCGTAAGAACTAAGGTGTGGCTGATTTCAGGAAGTGTGTTACTAATCTCTCAAGTTTCCAAAGTTTTTGGTGATTTGTGGCTTCCATTTGATGCATCCACATTATTGGTGCTAGGCTCTGAAACTCCAACCAATCAATCACTACTAAAATGTATGTAATTCTACTAGTGTTTTCTGATTCAAGTATCCCATAACATGCTAGTTATGATGTAAACCTTGGAAAATTATTATTTGCATGTATCTTAGAGAAAACATAGATTCAAGGTCTCTAGGGTTGCATGTACACCATAAGAGTGTTAGAATGCTCAAAACCCTTCAATGGTATCGGAGTCTAGGATTGTTTTCTTGATACTTGATGCAAACTTGTTAAGAAAATCGCTAAAACGGCTTCTGCCAGAGTGAACTAGCCAAGTCCATGCGGGAACTCGACGAGTCCATGTATTATTTCATCAAACTCATCAAGTAGGTTCTTGCACTCGACGAGTAGGAGGCCCTGAATGTAGTTTTTCGAGTTTTGTTGCTGGAAATGGACTAAAAATATTACCCTAAACTGTTTTGGTGTTATAAAACTTGTTTTAGATGGTGTAATGGTTACGCTGATCCATTTGCAATGGCTATTATCAAAATTTCTTGTTTTGTATGGTTTATTTACGATTCTTGAAATTGTTGATATGAACGTTCATACACTTATGAGTTTAGAAGACCATAGGAATTATTTGCAAATAGTTTGTTTGTTTAATTCTTGATCTTGATGTGTTTTAAGGAATCCATAATTTGTCCTCAAGTTATGGATTACCAAAATTCATTCTTTTAAAGTCTATTAAAGAACACATAAGTTACATGAAAATGAAGAGTATTCATTTTAATAAATCATTAACTCATAAGTTATGAAGTTGAAAAGTTTGGAAAGTTACAAAACTTGCCCACGAGTTTTGGAACATGTAAAGTCTCACACACTTTAGAAAACTTTAGTTCTAACCCCTAGAATTTTAAAAGTTAAAATTCAACCCTTATACTTTATAATATTATAGGTTAATAATATATATATATATATATATATGTGTGTGTGTGTGTGTGTGTGTATATATATATATATATGTATAAGAACAACTCATTTTACCGTTAGTAGGCCTCATTCACAAAGCCGGTCTATAAGGGGAGTATAAGGTTGTTGCCTATAAAATGGCATCTTAATGGGTGTCCACTCTCACCCACCGCTTCCGTGACTGGTGGAAGATCGTTAGCCGAACGGGTAGGACAATGACTTTAAACCTCATTAAAAGTATGATGATTGTAAAGTAACTAAATGTTTTTATAAATTCCCAACTTGCTTACTTTAAGAAAATGTGTATATGGTGCTAACCCATGAAATTACACTTTACACTTTGCTTAAGTCGTTAGTGGAGCGTGTGTGGTTAACCGACACACTAACCTGGACTTAACAAGGTAGGGAAAGGGTGGCTTAAGGTTTATCATATATCGGTGGAGCGCGTGTGGTTAAACGGCACATCGGTTAGGTGATAAACATTAAGAGTACTAAGTTATTTGCAGGGTTATTTCACACCTTGTTTTGTGATCCTCGGCATCCCAGTCACAAAACCTAAAGAGCACACTCGAAATTGAAACATGTCATTGAAAAGTTCAATGAATCTCAAAGAATATAGGAGTTTCAAAACCAATTAAAACCTAATAATTTATTTCATTTTTCATGGCGGAAATTGGTGAATCGTCATTCACCTACCTTCAAATATTTTACAGCTTGGATTACGACATCCCTCTTCTAAGTTATAAAATATTGTGTTGGGTCCTAGCCTTAATTTTACATTTGGGTGTCTTATTAAGGACTATCTTTATATCTAATCTAAACTTGTCTTTCTTTTTTAAATGTCTTCCAACAATGTTGCTTCTGGCTCAAACCCTATCGGGTCCTTCTCTCTTATGAACCTTTTTGGGAGAGTCATCTTCGATTGTTCCAACTTTATGGATTGGACCCGGAACATCAGGATGGTCACTCGTTATGAGGACAAGGAATATGTCCTCGACAAGGAACTTAAGGAACTTGATGAGTCGTCTGCTACTCCAAAGGAGATCGTTGAATTCCGAACTCATGAGAGAGATGTCACAAAAGTGGCATGTATCATGTTGGCCACGATGACAGCCGAGCTCTAAAAGTCCTATGAGGACTATTACCCTTTTGAGATGCACCAGGACTTGATGGACCGCTACCATCAAAGTGCTCATCAAGAGAGGTATGACATCATCTCCTCCATGATAGCAACCCAGAATGAAGGATGGTGAACCCATCACGGGCCACTTATAGAAAATGTAAACATATGTGAACCATTTGCGGAAACTAAATGTGAACTTCCCCGAGGAGTTGGCAATAGACATCATTTTTCACTCCTTACCTTCTAGTTATGATCAATTCCGAATGACATACCACATGAACAAGGAGGAAGTTACACTCAGAAAACTTCAAGGACTCTTGAAGACCGCAGAAACTGGTCTCAAGGGTAAATCAGTTGTTACCACTCCTACTCCTACCGTCGCCCCTGTCTTGGAAATCGGGCAAGGTAAAGGGAAGAAGAGGAAGAGCACTTCGAAGGGTACCAAAGTAAAGTCCCTTGATGGCTCCTCTTCAAGTAAAACCAAAGGTGGTTCTGTCACTCCTTCTACCAACCCTAAAGAGGCTAAATGCTTCTATTGCCATGAAAAGTCTCACTGGAAACAAAACTGCTCAAAGTACCTACAAGATGTTAAGTATGGGAAAGTGAAACACAGCCATGTAGGTATTTACACTATAGTGTCTAATAACTCACCCCATTCTAATTCTTGAGTCTTTGATACAGGTTGTGGTATTCATATATGTTTTGATATGCAGGGACTAAGAAGAAGTGAGAATGTGGAGCATGGGAAGATAAACTCAATCATGGAGAATAGGAAAGCTTCACCTATCACCAAGATTGGAGTTTATTATTTGTTGCTAAGTAGTGGGTTGGTGTTAGATTTGAATAAAGGTTGTTACTCGTCTGAAATAGCGAGAAATATTATTTACTTTCATGGTTTGTACAAACAAGGGTTTACCTTTTCGTTTGATAATGAATTTGGTGGTATTAATGCTTTCTTTAATAATGTTCTTTATTTAAAGCATTACCTTGTGATGGTGTATATGAAACTGTGTCGGTTGTTGATAACCTAGGAAATAATGTGTTGTGTATTGATTCATCCACTAACTTGGAAAAGCATCATTATGGAATTGTCGTCTTGGACATGTAAGCAAGAAACACATAGACCAACTCCAAAAGGATGGATTTTTGGAGTCATTTGACCAAAAGCCGGATGATAGTTGTCAATCTTGTTTTCTTGGATAAATGACAAAGTCACCCTTCACTGGTACTTATGCTAGGGGTGAGCGCTTGTTGGATCTCATACATACTGATGTGTGTGGACTCTTCAGAACTGCCACAAGGGATGCTAACCGCTTATATGTGACTTATAATGATGATTATAGTAGATATGGATATGTCTACTTAATCAAGCATAAGTCAGAAACCTTTGAAAAGTTCAAGGAGTTTAAACAAGAAGTGGAGAATCAGTTGGGCAGGAACTTTAAGATGATTCGATCCGATCGAGGTGGTGAATATCTTAGTACAGAGTTCCTTGACTATCTTAAGGAATGTGGGATTGTCTCACAATTGACACCTCTCAGGACACCACAACTTAATGGTGTGGCTGAGAGGCGTAATCGAACCTTGTTGGACATGGTTCGTTCCATGATGAGTCGAGCTTCCCTACCAAAAAGTTTGCCAAAACACCTCACGAGATGTGGACCAGGAAAGTTCCCAATTTGGACCACATCAAGATTTGGGGTTGTGAGGATTTCATATGGAGCAAGACTCGCGATAAGCTCGAACCTCAAAGTGAGAGGTGTATTTTCATCGGCTACCCACAAAAATCCTTTGGTTACCTCTTCTACAGACCCAGTGATAATGTGGTC